GTGTTGAAGTCATGCCCCTGAGCATGCTTTAGTAGAACATGGGGCTTAACACTAATGCTAAGTCCATTTAATCTTTTGTGGTTAATATACTTGTGGTGTGCTCTTTTATGTTAATCCTTTTCTTTCTTGGGTTGTAAATAATATATTATTTATTTTCCTACAATCGATTATATAAATAGAGTTCGATGATTCTGTTAGTCCTTTGGTTGGCTATGGTCTCTGGGTAGTCTAAAGTTGGATCCACTAGACGTTGGAGGTTAAGGACAACCTCAACTCAAGAGGAAAAATCTCAACCCAAAGCAAATGACAAACCTCTACTCGTAGTGAGGATGAATTTCAACTCAAGGATGAACTTCAAACCAAAGTGAGATCTTAACTTAAAGTGAGGATGAACTCCAGCTTAGTGATGAACATCAAAACAAAACAGACCTCAACACAAACTAGAATGATGAACTAAAAATGAGCTTGAACTTGAACCATAACTGAAGTTGAATCTCAAAATGAATTCAAGGATGAATAATCAAGGAACTTAAAAATACCAAAAAAATTAAGAATGAGCGAGACTAAACTTGGATATACATTCAATAAGGTTTATTCAAAGTGAGCTTTGTGAAGCTAAAAATTGAAGACTCTCATAACCCTGGTTAGTCACTTTGTCTATCTTAGATCTAGGTCGTGTTGTTAAAGAGATAGATGTTCAACTGCACCACTTCTTTTGTTTTTTCCAGGGTGTATAACGGAACTCGATTACATCAACCTTTATTTAGTTTAGCTTTAGCCATTTTGGCTTATTTTCTTTAAATGATTGAATTTTTTTAATTATGTTTACACTTTTCATATTTTCATGAGAAGAATTACATGTTTTTTCTAGCTTTATTAGCAGTGTGCCTGAAATGGATATTTTGTATGCGGCAGTCTCTTAGGAAATAAATCTTCCACCCCTTTTAACATCTTAAATAAAATTTAATTTCAAAAATCAAATCACTTGAAGCCTTAGAAATAATGAAAAAGATTAAACAAAATATAATATGAATAACAAACCTTACACTTGCATATTTATTTTTTTACTTTTCTTCATGCACTACTTCCATTGCACATAAAGGGCCATTCGACCCATGAGGACCGTCGCCTTTCTTAGAAGAGTCTACCTGTATGTTGATTGGTTGTCAACTGTTAAATCAACACATTCATACATACATTATTGCATACCCCAAGTTTAGAATTTGAGTAGAGTTAATAAAAAATAATCAAAACATAAGATTTTACTTTAGATAGTTGACATTGCATGCCAAAAATAATTAGGCAACTTGGTTTTCATAATAAATTCATAAGACTTGTTCTTCCTTTGTAATAATCAATACCCTAACATGTACTATCTTTCATATGATTAGATCCCATGATTTTGGGACATTTAAGTAGTTAGCTAGCAGTAGTTTCCAAGTAGCATCGAAAGCCCAGTAAAGTCAAACCTAGTACAATCCTCTATATGATAGAATTTATGTCATTTATGCACTTTATTATTACTAGGTTTGAGGCTCAACTTTGTTTGTAGAGTTCACCTTTAGTCTTAGGTTTTGAGGCCAATTGTGTAGCTACATCATAAGCCCTAACCTCTTTGGTTTTCTTATGATCTAGCATCATAGGGATATAAGTTAATTTTTTTAATATAATGATCAACTCAAACCTATTTAAATTCTTAAATTTCAAAAGCATTAAAACCCAAACATAGGATAATAGAAGTGCTATTGAGTTTTCTCTATATTCATGCATTTCATACTTTTTATCCATTTGACCCTGGAAGGAATTGTTTCTACTTGAATCATCCCAATTGAAATTCAAAATAATAATGTTGACAACTCAACTTTAAATTCTTAGAGACTTAGTAGTGGCCTTAATCAAGAGCATTAGTAAGAGAAGAGCTCTCTTAAGATGTAGTTAATTATAAAGACATGTGCTTATAGAAAGTTCTTATCTCAGTTTAAAAAAACCTTATTTAAATTCTAATTAAATATGTAAAAAAATTATTGGTTTACAAAGATTCAACAAATTTGAATAAATTTTTTTCTTTTAGTAATCTAGTTAATTATATAGTGATATTTATATTATTTGTGATAGTATATTACTCTCAATTTTGTATTTGGTCACCTAAAATAAATTAGCATATTCAAAATCTACATGATATCACAATAAAACAAACAATGCACTATATAAAGCTTAACATACTAGTTCAATACCTCTAAGATGATATTACAAAAAATAGAAAAAATAAACATGATGTTTCATCAATAGATTTTTATTTGGCATGAATCTTGCTGCATTTTGAGTAAGAAACATTCCAAATTTAAATTTAGGATCATATAATCTTTGATTTTAATAAGTTTATAATCAAACTGAACATCTCAATAAGATGAACTCAATTTTGTTGGAAGGGATCCAATCTGATTCCAAATAAGCCCATATAAGAAACTTGAAGTTTTGCCAAAGATTTTGGTGCATCAATTAAAATACTAAAAGATCATAAAAATTGACATGATTTTTGTCAAATTATGCTTCTTGATGAGAGGAATCCAACGAGCATAAGTTCATTCATTTCTAAGCTCGTTAAGATACTTAAATATTGAAAAAAAAAACCTATGATAAAGTGGATCAATTTGATTGTCTGATGGAATGTTTTGAGAGATTAACCAAATTTACTAAAATGCCCTTTTCAAAACTTTAAAGGGACCCACATTTGTCACTTGAGGGAACAAGAAGAAGAAAAGAGTGCTAACTCTTAATGTCCGAGTGATTGTCGTCGGTCACCCAAGATCATAGTCGACCATTAGTGTTTCTCATCGACCAATAAAGGTCATGATGAATTGCCAAAGATCATTTTCAACCACCGATAACTACAACTTTGATAGCCCTTGTCACACCGCAACTGACCGCCCCTTTAGAGGCCGACTAAGTTGCCACATAGGTGGACAATTTGACCTAACTAAATTCTCACCAACTCTTGTCCTAACTTATAGAACCAGGACCCACTCGATGATAAACTAATCCAACTAACTTGCCACAAACACACATGATACATTATATTTCATACATCATTCATATACATATTCAGAAACATATAAATCAATTCATCAAAGCATGTATACAGAGTTTTTAAATTCAACATAAATAAAACCTATAAACAATTAATTTTCGTTAAGTTAGTACGAGATTATTTTACATGACTTGACGAAGCAGCCCTACGACTAGTTCCTACACACTCATCTCGAGCTCACCGCCTCGTGTAAATAACCTGGAATTTTTAGGCAACTTACGGTTTCATAAAAATTAGTTCAGAATGTGCATTAGCTCAAAAAAACATGTCTTAAATTTATGCATACCTCAAATAAGTTTCTTGACATATTTTGCCCTTCCTCCAGTCTGCCTTAACTTCTCCCTTCTTCTTTATACACTTCGTTCCTCCCTTTCTCTACATTGATTTTGTGTTAAAACCCTTAAAGAAGCTCACATATAAGTTTGACGCTAATGACAATATTTCGACGGCTGCTACATCTACAAAAAATAAAATAAGATCACGAATCGAGGCAAATGCCAAAATAGAAATAAGAGGAAGAACATGAATGCCTAGAAAATTGTTAAAGTGAATTTCATACCTTTCGATTTTGCCTCGGAATCCCTTATGACAAGATACCACTCGCTGACTGCCACTAGCACTCACCTTTCTTGTTCACGTGAAGGCAGATCACGGGGAGGGGGGTGAGACGCGACACTTAAGGAAATTCCCTCCCCATAAAAGCCATATGATCTATCCCACGGTTGAAAAATGCAAAGGAAGGTCATTTAGGAATAGCAAACAAGTTGGAAAAATTGGGACAAAGGATAATTAAGTTTAATTAAATTAATTAACAATTTTATATCTCTAAAACCAATCATAATTATTATATAGTCATTATATCGAATTGATTGATTTCATGCGTAGAATTTTGTGAAAATATTTTTATTGAAATCTGATGGTTGTGAAATTTGGGGTACTTTAAAATTTTGTTGAACATGAAATGGTTCTCAAATTTTTAGCGTTACAACCCTATTATGACTATTATAATATGTTGCATTTAAAGCTTTTTCAGCCAATTATAATTGTTATAGCCTCTAACAATGGCTTTGATAGCCCTATTACGATTGTCATAACTAGCAACTGTGACTTCTATAGTCAGCTATAGCTTCTATAATTTACTACAACTGCTATAGCCACAAACTAGAGCTTTTATAATTAACCACTGCTTCTAGAACCAACTACAACTGTTATAATCTCATTATGATAATTGTATTCAAACTAAAATAGTTATAGTCACACCCTAATAGGGTTAAATTTTAGTTTATTTCAAAATAGTTCATGAGCATTAAATGAAATTATTATTTTTATTCAAATTTTTAATTATTTTTTTTTATTTTTTAGTTGATAATATCAATAAGTAATTTAATTTAAAATATTTTTTTATCATATTTTATTTAGATTATATTTTTAGTTATAAATTATAGCGTTTCACAATTTAAATAAAGGATATAAATTAATATTTTAAAATATATAATTATTAAACATTATCATAATAAAATTCGTGTAGCATATACATTTAAATAAATTCACAAGTCTAAGTATATTTGGTTTAAAATATATTAACAAATTTCATATTATAATATCTAATAGAATTATTATAGTATTCATAATAAAATATTTATATTATTATTATTTCAAGTAATATTTTTGTAGTAAATTTTTATAGTATTTTTTAATCAGTTTTATATTAAAATTAAAAAAATAAAAAGGTAAATGTTAATTTTGAATATGGATAAATTAGATCGATGTTATTTTTTAAAATTATTAATTTATGTTCTCATTTCAAAAAAAAAAAAAAAATAGCTCTAACTTATATGTATGTAAATCTTTCGAATAAAAAATATAAAATACAAATAAATAAAAATAAGTTATCGCAAACCGTCCTGTAAATATGCGATTTTGTACGAACAAAACGCTCGAGGAGGCGGGCTTTCGGTCGTCGCTGCTTCTCCATCTCCTGTCATCACGCCGCATCTTTGATCGGTCCTGAGGACGCGGGCCATTTAACAAACTAGATTAACCGACTAGTTAGGCGAGTGGTTGACGGCAGATGACGATCAGATGGCTAAGGCGAATGGGCGGGGCCTTCGGGGCATCTTTCCTCTGGCTCGTATCACTGATCTATTTTACTCAGGTTTTCTTCTTTCTCGGAAGATTTTTTGTTGGCTTTTCTCTTCCATGTCTGTTGCCCAATTGGGTTTTGCCATTCCTTTGTGTTTGCAGGGTTTTGTTTTTTGTATGAAGCTTCTTTTGAGATCAGGATCGCCGTTACATTCTTCGATTCAGTGTTAATTTATTTTTTATTAAAAAATAGAGTGTGTGGTCGTATGGTCTGATTTTTTTTTTCCTGGCTTGAAGGAGTTGCTGCCTATGCTTTGTTAGGATCATTTGATGGGCATCTGTGACTGATCGCGTTTTTTGGCTTTGGCAGGAGTCACTGTTTTTTTTTTTATAATGAACGTGTGGGAGTTTTGGCGCTGCTGTGATTGGTGGTTAGCGATTGAAAATTTTCTTTTTATATAGGAAGGTATTTCAGATTTATGATAAGACACTCAGGGTATGTGTGGGGCTTAAAGGGCAGCTTGGCAGCCGTGATGCTGCCGCTGATGTTCAAAATGCTACGGTGGTTATTACAATTTTTTTTTCAAAAAAGTTGGACCGCACTTAAAAAGCTGACATCGCACCTAACCAAGACAGATAGGAAAATACATATTTTAGCGGCAGTTTTTTGGAAAGCTGTCAAAACGCACTTTACCCAAACAGACAAAATTGCCTCAATTTTATTTTGAGTAAGTTTCTGGTTGCATGTGATATTTTTTTTTTAAGTTATCTCATTATACAAGCACGAAGCTTGATTATACTAATTGGCGGCCTTGTCCCTTCTACTACCACTTGAATCTCAAAATCTTGTTATTTGATTGAATGAATGGTTGATTTTATTCAAGATGCATACAAAGTTTGATTTTCAACTAGTTCAATGATTTTCTTAAGAGCCATTTGGGTTCACTAGTGATTTTTATTTTTGTTTTTTATTTTTATTTATTTTGCTGTTAATGTTTTGATTTAAAAACAAAACATATTTGGTATGATATAACTTATTTAGTTGTTTTTAAAAACACTTAAGATAATTTTTAGATGTTTTGAGTGTTATTAAAAACAAGCTAAATTGTTTTTAAAAATAAGAAATAGAAATATAAAAAAATGCACTAAATAAACATTTTTTTGAAATAAAATCAACAACAAAAAACAAAAGACAAAAATAAAAGTGATCTGATCGACCTACAATTACGCAATTATTTAGTTTACTAACAAAAAACTTGACCTGATTTTTTTAGGCCGTTAATGTGCAAAATGAATATGTTATATAATTTAGAATTTGATTTATATTTCACATATTAGGAGTTCTACACAAGTATATGTATCGTTTCAAGTAATAGAGAACTTTCTTTAAAAACCCCAGTATCGATCCCGCAGGGAACCGAGGTAAAAAATCCCTTAGGCTAATTCTAATATACTACTATTATGTCTTATTTTGAAATTTTTGAAAAGTTTGATTTACTAAATTCACTAATTTACTATAAAATTAAAGTTAACTAAATTAAATAAAACCTAATCTAAGGAGACTGGTTAAATTTTAGAAAGTTCTTATATAATCAAAATCATTTTTCCCTTGTGATGAGATCATTATCAGTGTAGGAATCAAATGTTTAAAAGTTAAATGTAATTTTGTGCCAAATAGGAACATATCTATTCTTTACTCTCTTCCGAATGTATAAAAAATATTGAATAACCTAAAATAGGTTTCTAATTAATATGGTTATGCTAGGTAGATTCTAGTCTGTCACTTCCACCCACTGTGCCCTCTTTATAGGACTAACTGGCCTCAGGTTCCAACTCTATACCAAATTGGTAAATGTTCTAGCCTGTCATCCAAGAATCACCAATTCTACGCTCATCAAAATTTATCTCCCTATCTATTTGCACTCCTCCTGGCCTAAGTTTCCTCTCATCCTAAGTGTTAATGTTATATTCACTAGTTGTGTGAAATCATAACCCCCATAAAGAAAATGACGCAATTTTAGTACTTATTTAAAGTCTATTTTCTTTAAAGAAAATTTTGAATCGGGTGAGACTGGCGTCTAGGTGCCACTTTCTGGCGCCTGGGCATCACCCTGCTGGCTGCACCCCCGTTTCACTCTGTTTTGCTCCGTTTCGTCTTGTCTTAGCTCCAATCCGCTCAAAGTGTTATGCCTACAAGATAAACATGAAAATAACATATCTTTAAAGTGCAATTTCATTCAAAAATATGTGATAAATATAAATGTGATTAAGCATATAAAGACATCAAAATGCGTCAAATCAGAATTTTCTTCCTTGCTCGATTTGACTCCAAATTTCACCATTTTTGCTTCATTTTCTTCAGAACTCCACTGCTTATACCAGGAATAAAAAACATGCAAAATATTGCAATGTCATTAAAAATGAACATAAAATGTATATAAAAAAGTAGGTAATTTTTAGGCATGCCATAATCTCAGACAAGTTCTTAGTTTTGATTTTTGTTTGTTACTTCCAGTAGAGGTTGGTTAGATTTCCATTCTAGTTATCATCTTGTTTTCATTGAAAGCAACAAATAATTATTGTAAATTAAGTATTTGTTACCTTAAATATTTGTGTACTTGCTTCAGAGATATCTGCTTCCTATTAATAAAATTACATTTAAAATAGTCCCTATGACATCTTTCGTTGGATTTGACATGAGATTTTAATATTGTATCACAATTGCTTGTGGACATAAGGAAAGAAGAATTGGGCCAGTTAATAAAATAATGAATAAAAATAATGTGATTTAAATAAAGTAAGCTTTATTATGATTTTAGGCAATATTTGATGCGAGGCAACCCATGGTATTCTCAAATTGGATGAAAGTATGGTACAATTATCTAAAAGATACAATATGTTCGGTTCTCATATTATTGAATTTGCTAAAGCACAATTATTGGAACTTGCTCATTATTTTGGCCAAATGTTGTAATCAAAATTTATTTTTGATTTATGCAACATAAGTTAAAAAAAGATATATATAGTAATCAATTTATCAATGCAATTGCTTTAAGGTGACTTTAGCGTGTTTGCATATTTTATTGTGTTTAAAGGTCTTGTGATCCAATATCATTTACTTGTAGATTGATGTGTTATTAATATCTATTCTATAAAGGTCCTAGGCAAAAAATTAAGCATCAATTAAGATATGCTCTATATAAAGCCCAAGAGTTTGAGAAATATTATAATTATCCCCATATTAAACCTTACTTGGTTGATTAGTGTTAAAAAAATTCATTAGGATCATATCAATCTTGTTAAAAATGCATCAACATAAGTCTATTTGATCAAAATTTTGATTATTGAAAAAACTTCAGTCTCTTTAAATGATGGATTAGATAAAAAAATCAAATCAGAAAATGAACCTAAATCTGATTTTTTAACATTTGAATCTTCAAAAAACTCTTAAGTAGAAAAAATTCATTTGAATCTTAATTGCTCAAGTTTTGCATTTTAATTTATAATTGACTATAAGATCTTATTTCAACCTAAACTTGATTTAAAGTTTGAATCTATTCCTGTTTTAACATTAACTAATTTTATATGTTTGAAGTTGATAAATTAATGAAACAAATTGATAATGTATCTCTTAATGAAGTATTTTTCAAACTTTTCTTTTCATCTACGAATCATTTTGATATTGATTTTATTTTTGGTTCTTTGTTTTTTATTTAAAAATTTATTAAAAAAAATCTTATGGAGATAATAAAGTTTTGTCAACATATCAACAAATTTAATAATGTACATGACTTCAAGAAAATACAAAATTCAAATATTAAACTGAAGTAAAAAATTGCATAATTCATCACAATCAATCTTTTAGTTATTTGTATTAATTTTGTTTGAAGTTATTATTCATCCATGATAGACGTATCATGTTTGTGTTGTCTGTATGTTAGTTTATGAAATTTAATAAGTATTAGTTTTAAGCTTTTGTCATAATCTCCTTCGGACAAGAATTATATTATATCCACTAGCAAGCATATGCTTAATTTGGCACATATTATATTGCATTATTCTGTATTTATGTATACGATATGGATGAAAATATCTAAATGAAACTTCTAATTGTAAAAACTATAAGTCTATCATTAATGTGAATAATAAATATCTAAAATTCAAGCCAAGTGATATGTTAATGGTTTGTTTAAATCTTCAAAGTTCTCTAACTAGAATTCTTGAGAGATAAATTAGAAAAATGGTATCGTTTAAATCCATGCAATGTATTGGGATGAATGTTTTAAGTTGAAAATTTGAGAAAATTCTTATTTTTAACAAACTTGATTGGACTTTATTTTTTTAACCTTTAAATAATGTTTTGTATTATTCTCTTTTTGTACTTGTTCCAAGCTTCATATTAAACTTATAGTCTACACAGTTTTCAAAAGTAAGCTAATCTTGTCCTTGAATCTATTATTGGAGATGATATCATCCACATCATTAATGGTGGATATCAAATATACCTTTTAAGTGCTAATAGAGACTTTTAGATAATAATTAATGAATTTTTATACAATAAATACAGAATATATGTCCGACTTTGTTTTTAGAATATTAAAGCAACTTTTCACCAAAATTAAATTTATTGAAGCCATTAAAATTGATTTTGACCATCTACGACTTTTTATTCTTGCAGCAATCTGCCACTAGTTTATTATATACTTTGTTATTTTCTCTATTTTTGCTTTTTCTTCTACCTCTTCAACATTTTTGGATTTGATTCCTTATGTAATCCCCTCACTTTTGTGACAACTCCTTTGATCTTCCTTCATCGATTAGGATTTTTCAGCTTCTTGGGAGTTCTGTCATCATTCTAAAGCAGGATGTATGGTAAGTTTATGGTAATGTATAATTAACTGTAGCTTGCAACACTCAACTTGTTCTATTATAGGGAGTTGCTATTTTACAATATTGGATGTATTTGATTTTTTGGTTGCTTTTTTTTTGTTGGTTGTTAGGAATTTGATACTATTCAACACAAATTTTCACATTGAAATTAGGGTAAATAATATTTTTCTTTCAGGAACATCAAACTACTCAACATAGATACATAAAGATAAACACTTACAATTAGAGAGGTAGGCGATCTCTCCCAAATCCTACAACTCGAGAGGTAGGAAATCTCTCCCAAGCCCTAATCCTAAGACTTAAGCATAATCTCATCCCTCCTCTAAACTCTCAATCTATTTGCACTATCTATACCTCACAAAAACAACAACAATAATAATAATAATAATAATAATAATAATAATAATAATAATAATAATAATAATAATAATAATAATAATAATAATAATAATAATAATAATAATAATAATAATAATAATCGAAGACTAAATTTCTCTTTGGCACTAGTGTAACAATACGACTCTCCCAAAAATACCCATTGTCCTCAAGTTGAAAAAAATGAAACCGGTGCTGAAGTATTTGGTTCCCACTCCTAAACTGACTTGAAATTAGCTCTCACAATACACACTTGATTGAAATAATTGATGGCTCATTGACACTGCTTGAGGACTACGCCTAATTCGTAGTCTGAAGCATCCATCTCTACAATAAATGGTTGGCTGAAATCATAAATTGTCAGCCTTGGAACACTTGTCATGATCTTCTTTAATATCTCAGAAGTCCGGGTCACCTCTTTTTCCCATTGAAAGTTATCCTTTTTTAGTTTCCCCATCAACAACCATACAATAGAATTATAACCTTTTATGAACTTCCATAATATCCTGTAAGCCCCAGAAATCTCTCAACCCCTTCCAGGACTTTGGCAGTGGCCACTCCAATAAAATTCTCACCTTTGATGGATCCATCAAGACCAAGGTCTTGCAAAACTAGAGTCACTACGAAGCACCACCTTCCTCGCCTTCAACCCAATCTCCATAGTCAGGGATTTCCAATTCATCCTCGTTTCTCCGATCTTCTGCAGACACTTCATCCCCAAAATTACTTCAGTACTTCCAAATCCAAGAGAAGGAAGTCCTCCACCACCTGTATGTGCTGTAGTATCAACATGAATCCCCTACAAATTCCCTATTATTTTTCCAGTTTTTCTATTTCCAGCATGACCCCAAAGCTTCCCATATCTACCAGCTTCACCCCGACTGGTCCACGACCCAATTTGAGATGAAAATTTGAGTTGCCCCACTCTCCACCAACACAACTGCCGGTTGCGCCCCGATCTATCTCTTTTGGAGTAAATCACACCACTAAGGTTAGGGACAACTTCGCTATATCCAAGTGTAAGTGTTCCTATTTCTTCAATTCTCTGCCATTTGTCTCCTCCCCTCCACAAACTAAAAGGATCTGGAGCGTGCGATCCTTGCATCGATGGCCTGTTTTATACTTATCACATCAGAAACATAATTCCTTTGCTTTCTTATCCTGCAACTCTGCCTCTTTTTGGCGCTTGAAGTTGACCACAATATGGACCCAATATTTCTCTCGGTTGATGCCTCTTGAAATGACATTGTTTGGATCGTCGATGTTATGGTCTTCGTGATAATCTGGTGAAATCCTCCTGTGGTGCTATTTTGCTGGTCTTTTTCATCTGGTTCTTGTCTTCCATCATCTCTCTCAATCCTCGGAGTCTCATTAGTCGGATTGCTGCCCATATATTGGCTTTAGACCCTTCATAAAGTTCCCCTTCAATCGTACTTCATAAATTCCCCTCAACCGTCGCGACAATAGCTCGAATATCTCTCTATATTTCATAACAATCACCTCTTGAGTTAAGGCAAATAATTACTCGTGTTGTTTAACTCTAAAATATTCCAACTAGCAATCCTTAAATTCCTCGGGCGAACGGATGTTATATTTAGCCTTCCTCCATTGAAACTATGCTAGGGCTTTCCCCTCCTAACATAACCCTGCTGCCATGTGTTCGCCTCCTCATTTAGCGCATTCACCTCGAAGTATTGTTCCAACCATTGCACTCACCCATGTGCTTCTTCCCCCCTCAAAGATCGACATCTTTATTTTCTTAATCCTAGCATCACCACACCAATTTCTTCTTCCTCCGATATTTCCCTCCATGTATATTGGGTGAGACTCCCTCCTATCATAGCCATACCCCATTCATGTTTCTCTCATTCCTTGTTCGTGTTCCTTCAACCTCTTGCATAGCCTGTCTTTCATGTTTCAACCTAACCCCCCCATTGAAAATCTCTTAGCTTACCCCCCATCGGAGTCCTGGGGGGTTTTTGATGGTTGATGCTTTTCTTCTCATATTTCTCACTTTTGATCTAGCCACAGATTTTTTTATCAACCCTTGGTTAGAATTTGCAAGTTGAACCATTGGTAGGGTCTAGTATTGCATTTTAGTAAGCTTCCTTGTCATCCCCTGCAAATTCTCGAATCGGTTGTCAATGGAGGAAAATCTTTCATCTATCTTGTACTTAAGTTGCCCTGCCTTTCCTTCCAATCTCTCTTTGAAAGCATCAACTTGCCTTGTTGTCGTTTTTTCAAGATCATTTTCACATAGAAACTCCTGTACATTGAACTCCCTTATTACTTCCCAAGTATCTTAATTTGTTAATGTATCGCACGGCTAGGTCACTGTATGCCGCGATCACGATTTTAACTTCCAAGCAAGCTCTATTGTGCCTACATCACTTGTATGCTTGGAATCATCTGATACCTTTAGTTTTGTTGCATGCTTTTGCTAGGTTGAATCACACGATCCCTTTAGTCTCGTCGGTTTCTTCCCTGCAAGTTCAATCACACGAAACCTTCCTTCTGAAAAGTCCTAGATTTGATTTTGGAACTCCTTCCAGGTGCCTATGTGCAACGATCCCCCATGATCTAAAATGATTCAATGGTCGTTTCTCATGATCAATTGCTTTGATACCACTTTGATATGATCCCACACAGATTTTCACACAGAAATTAGGGCAAATAATATTTTTATTTCAAGAACACCAAACAACTCAACACAAATAGAAAGATAAACACCTATAATTCGCGAGAGACAATCTCTTCCAAATCCTACAATTCCAAAGGTAGAAAAGCCGTCCCAAGTCATAACCCTAATACTCAAGACAAAATCTCATCCCTCTTCCAAACCCTTAGCTTATCAGCCCTATATATACCTTACTACAACAACAACAACAACAACAATAATAATAATAATAATAATAAAAGCCTAAATTGTCTTTAGGCTGATAAAAGACAAAATTACTCTTATTCGCCGGCGCAACAAAATCCAAAAAGATTTTTTGTAATAAATCAAGTCTTAGATTTGTAACTAGTGATAATTTTTTTTTTAATTGATATGGATGCATTGCTCCCACTTCAATGTGTTAACTTCTTGATCAAGTGGGAGTTTTGAAGATTTTTGGGAGGGGATTGTCTCTAATTTAAAAGCTTGATTTTACTACTTTGTTGGTCTTTACCTTTTTTTTTAATTGATTGAATGTGGAATTGATTTTATTTAAGTTCAATTCAGTTCGCTTCCTAAAAGTGTGTGAATTTCAAATTGTTGTATACTTTTTCGGTTATGGGTATTTATTTGACATTTCTATTAGAAGAGCATTGTATTTTTACTGTAATAATTTCTTTTATTGCCATTTTTTTTATTTTCATAAGAAGTGAGTATTTATAAAATAAAAAATTCATGACTATTGAATTCATGGTGTTTGTTGCTTGAGTTTGTGTCTCATGATAATTTTATGCAAAAAAAAAATCTGGAAATCTGAACGCTTCTTCTTCTTATATTCTTCTTTCCGTTGTCCATTTTTCTCCTGTTCTTGTAATAAATGTTACAGACCTCAGTGCCCTGTTCCTAGTCACAAAAAAAACTATAGGCAATCTCCAGTTGCTGCAATGGCTATTAAAAACTGGAGAACCCTTTCAAATCGTTTTTTTCAGGGTCACTGTAGCTGATTAACACAACCCCTATGATTATTTTTTAGCTCTTAAACAATACTATTTATGCTGTATTGTCTGACCTAATAATGAGATTTGGATGGTATGCAGGGTTTCCGATCCTTTGTGTGGACAGCTGTTTCCTATCAGTTGAAAGATGTACTCAAATTGTCGCCCTCAGCTTCTCAGTTTATGTTTTCAATTGCATTTTTCCCTTGGAGTATAAAACCGGTTTATGGGTAAATCTTTTTTAAAGAAAGTGGATGAAAATATGATTATTAACATTTTAAATTTAGTTATATAATCGTTATAATTTATTTTTTTTTGTATATATCTGAGTCTGTGGTTGTTATTTTTCCTTTTTTACTAACAGTAATTCAATTGGTTAGCATGAAATTATTTATGAAGCTTTGAAACTGATACAAGACAAAGATATGCCACGGACATACTCTCTTATAAATTATTAATATAAAATGTAAATCAAAAACACCTATTGTCAATATTTTCTTAATTAAAAAACATCACATAATTAAATATGATATTAAATGTATGATAAAAAAAACTTAAAGATCAAGTAAGGAATACTAATTGATATTTCATCGATTTTTTACTTTGATTGCTATAATAAAAAACCAACATTAACATTAACAAACACGTATGGTTTTCTCAATATCAATATTGTTTTGTATGCACAAAAATGCTATAACATCTAAACAAAGACTATAATCTTCAAAATAATTGCACGGATTATAAACATATTGATGTATTACCTATTAAATCAAATACACTGGGTACGCATTCATCACTACTAACACTATGCTCGCTTTAATAGTATATTCACCATTATGAAGGAGAAAAGGTTTACTAAACAAACACGTTGAGAAAAAAACAAAAGTCACTTTAATCGCATGTCTCGGCCGTGATGGGACATATCCATGTCCTCTTGAGGCATGCCCTATTAGATTTCTATCTCTAACTTTAAAAGAAACACACAAAGCAAACTCAATTTTCAGCATATTGGACACATATTGAGGTAAGAGATGATTTTATGTCTGACATGTGTTCAACACAGGTACAAAATGCTTTTTAAGATGTCTATTTTTCATAGACCATTAATTATTTCATTAGGCTGGGCAATAAATCTTCTGCAATTTCTATTTTTTATTTAGGGGCGGTAAATCTTAAAGATTTCGATCAATATGTGGCAATATATTTGATGCCAGTATATTGCACAATGGGAATTTATTTTAGGATGGCCGATAGAAGTGACTGAATGGAGGATATGAGCATAAATCAAGTGAAAGATGAGTTTGAATTGAATCGATTGGGTGAGATTCTACCAATCCCATCAAGCAGCACTTTTTAACACCAAGGACCTTACATCATTGGAATATTCATTCACCAATAGAAAGTAACTTGTCTATGAAAATGCCTCTGATGCCTCAATATAAGTATACACTTCAAGTTTAGAAAACTACCAAAGAAATAACTAAAATAAAAAAAAATCCTTAATTAATAGAATATATTTCTTGTGATCTTCATATTTCTCCATGAGTACATTTCTTGTGAGTCTCTTAACAAAATGTGAAGAGAATTGATCTTTGAGTTGCCTTGTGTAATTTTCATGTAACTAATATTTTGTCCATTTCCAAATAACGATAATGATATTGTGTTCAATAATTTTGATAGCAACTGAGAACTATATGGAGGAAGATTGAGCCAAAGTCAGCAATGTAGTGCATCCACATTTAGAATGTCCTGTAAATGAAGGTGGTATAAAAGGCATGCCCTAGTAGGAATATGCAATATTCATATTGAAATTGTTTTGATACCATATTCAATAATAAATTAGGTATGCAGGCATCTGGCTCGACTCAGAGATGGTGGAAGAATGGTAGTCATCTTTTAAAAGTGGAAAGTTGAATTTATTTAGACCAATTTATTGAGAGAAAATTGATTTTTACCAGATAAAAATACAAAATTAATTATTTATTGTAGGAGTCCTACTGAGCAATCATGATTAGAGTTTGCACATGTTTAGGCTTCTATGACTTGATTTTGGTGTTTGTTTCAATTGGAAAATTTATTGAAATGTATTTTTCTTTTTTGCAATCTTGTTTAGGGGCCATTTTAATCTGTTGAAAAAGGATAGAGCGTCAAATGATTGCAGTAAAATTAAAATGTAGTGTATTTTAAATATTTTTGAGTTGTTTAGACTGTGTAAAATAAATATGAGTTTATATTTTTATGTTTCATTTAAGTATAAATGAAATCAATATAAAACTTGGGTGGCAGCGGCGAGAGCTAAGGAGAACAGTGACCAGTGGTGGTGAGTGGTAAGCGTTTGGCAGTTGTGTGCAGGGACAAAGGGAGCAATATGCAAACCCCAATATGATGAGTTTGGAATACATAAGTTTTTAATTATAGGGTGAATTCCCAATTCGTTAAAATTTCATTTAACCAAACACCAAAATTTTAAAAAAACTTGCATTCCATTTACATTACACCACGAATTTAAGTAACCAAATTGCCCCTTTGTAAGAACATAAGACATTAAGCAGAAGTGATAAATTTTGCATGTTTTTTTATTTAAGGAAGCTCATTCCTTGTTTTTCTTTCTTTGAAGAATTTTAGTTCCAAAATGAAAATCACGGTAGAAATTTTTATGGCTGGATAACATGTGATGGGTTTAGGTATAAGAATTATTTCCTGTCAAGTAAACTATCTTATAAGTAGAGGATTAAAATAATCCCTTTGAAACATCACATTATATTATACATACAAACAAAATTTAAAGAAACTTTCTCTGCCAAAGCAAAAGGTACCCATCTTGCTATTGCATAAATCTCTTTAACCTCCTAATAATTCTGTGTATCATTTTGCTTGTGGATCCCTAATCATCTAAATTTCCCTGTATTGTCCTTTTTGTTATCATGAAATAAACAGGGTTTTGAACATTGTGGATTCTTAAGCTTGTTTATAATTTTAATCATCATATTAATTGTTTTCGAATAAGATTTGAAGCCTTTGGGCCTGGTGAACCAACTTGTGGCATAATGAACATACAATGTGTTGCTTCATGCACTAAATGCATTCCACCAATTGCTCGTTGTAAATTAAGGGTGCGTAGTTAATGGAGCTTCCATTGATATAAGATCTCGTGAGGGCGGTGATGTATGCATTTTGACTTTTGCATTTGCAGGTTTTTCATGACTCGAACCTTAACGTTGATTAGAGATAATTTTAGCGGCTGGCTGTGGATTCGTCAAATATTGTTAGATAACTTGGATATCCTAAAATGATTCTGCACATTATGCCAACTACCATAGATTATTTTATGATTAGCACTTTATGCAGCCCAATTCCAATCTAAAGAAGCAATGACTTTAATGCATTTGATACATATTTTGTAATACTGTTTTTGTTGTTTGTTAACAACTTCAGTCATTTGCTCTTACCAATTAATATTTTGATAACTAGCATGATAGTATTAGCAATTGAATTTTTAATCAATTTATCATCATTTTTTATGCTCTGTGTTACGAGAGTTAACCTAAAAAACAATATGAAAACAAATATTATTGTTGAATAAGCCAAATAGGTGGTTATAACTAAACATACATTGAAAAAATAGCCACACAACACAGACTCACACTAGGGTTTGATTTGTGGGTGGTGGAGGTCGGCTTAGTGGTCCGGATGTAGTGGGAGGTGGTTGGGATGGGATGAATGAGGAACAATAGCGAGTAGGGGTGACTGGAAAGGTGGTGTGTGATCGGAAACAGCGAGGGGGAGGGTTGGATGGGTGACTGGAAAGGTGGTGTGTGATCGGAAACAGCAAGGGGGAGGGTTGGATAGCAGGTTGACAGCAGGTTGACAGCAGCAGAGGATTGTAAGGATGGCTGGAAGGGCAATGGATTGCTGGAAACAGACAGGGAGAGGGCTGGACAGCAGGTTGGCAGCGGTAGAGGGTGGTATGGACGGTTGGAAGGGCTGCGACAGTGATGAATGACGATTGGTAGTGATGCTCAGAGTTTGTGGAATGTTAGAGGTGGCTGTGCTGGATAGGAAGAAGGGCTGGGCAGCAGGGAGACCAAAAGGTTGTCATCTGTGGGGAGGGCGATGGCTTCAGTGGTGATGGCGACGACGGCGACAACGGAGGTTGGGGAGAGTCGAGGATAATTACCACCTTGGATGAGATATAGCCGATCACCACCTGTTGTCGGATACAACCCTAGAAGGGAAAACCAGGACGCCAACTGCTGTCCTAACAGAAACACAACCAAAACACCCCTCTAAACTGTAATACAATACATATACAGTAAAGAAATGGAAAGGATTAAAAGGGTATCCTAAAACGCTTCTTAACACATTGCCAACCCTTACCATAGATTTCTTACAATTAGCACTTTATACAGTCCCATTCCATTTAAAGACGCAATTGCTTTAATGCATTTGACACATATTTTGTACTAATGTTTTTGTTGTTTGTTAACAACTTCAGTCATGTGGTATTACGAATTAATATTTTGATAACTAGCAGAATACTATTAGTAATTGAATTTTAATTGATTTATTGTCATTTTAAAAGTTCTGTGATGCCGAAGTTAACCCAAAAAACAATAGAAAAATAAATATTATTATTGAATAAGCTAAATGGGTGGTTACAACTGAACCCGCACTAAAATGGGAAATAATAACAACATAATACAGACTCACACTAAGTTTTGATTTGTAAGTGATGGAGGTCAGTTTGGTGGCTCGGATGTAGTGGGAGGGGGCTGCAATGGGGTGGATGAGGAGCGAAAGAAATGAAAGAAAAAGGGGGGGGGGGTGGGATAATAGGTTGGCAGCGACAGAGGTGGTAGGACGACTGGAAGAGCTGTGGATTGCTATAAATAGTCAGGGGGAGGGCTAGATAGCAGGTCCGCAACGGCGGAGGGTGGTAAGGACAGTTGGCGGGGCTGCGACAATGATGCCGCTTGGCAGTGATGTGGCGAGGTTATAGAAGGGTATAGGTGGTTGTGCTTGGTAGGAAGGGTTGGGTTGTAGGGAGACATCAAGGTTGCTGTCTTGGGGAGAGTGATGTTTGTAGCACTAACGATAATGACGCCTGCAATGAAGGTAAGGTTGCGGAGGATGGGGAGAGTCGAGGATAGTCACCACTCCTCATCGACCGCCTAAGTACCACCCATTGTCAGATATTACGCTGGGAGGTAAAACCTAGAAGCTGGCGGCTGTCCTGACAGAAACACAATCAAAACTCCCCACTAAATCCTAATACAATACATGTATAGTAAAGGACTAGATATGAATGAAAGGAAGGAGGAACTTGATAAAATTGGAAAGAAATAGAAAACAATGCTGCTCGGTTCGACTCTGTGTCGTTCGCATGTCCCCATGACCGCGCGCGCAGTCACGGGGTCGTGGGAAACCATGCATGGGCACTGGACCCTCTCATTAGTGCGGAAGATGCTCCCCACTTCACTCTGTGAAATTGATTTTTGGAATTCTGTAAGTAGTGAAAAAGCTTAATAATGGCCATCATATAATATTGCGCTAATTAATAATACACTTGATTTGATGATCAACGTCTCGCCATTTTTTATAGCAAGCAGTTTTTTAATCAGCATCTTCTCTCTTTCGGTAAAATTTCTTCTTTGCTAAAATTCTATTATTTTGTTTAAAGTTTCAAATACTAACTAGATTAATATTTTTTTCATTGTAGCATTCTATCAGACTGCATTCCAATTAATGGGTGTAAACGAAAACCATATTTGGTCATAGCTACCGTACTTTCTCTTTTACCATGGCCTGTTCTAGGTCTGACATCTTCCCTTAGGAATTCACATAATTTCTTGACTGCTTTGTTGACGGTGCAAAACTTGGGATCTGCTATGGCAGATGTAGTTATTGATGCAATGGTTGCAGAGGCAGTTCGATCTGAAAGGTATTTATGTTATTCATTTTTTCCATCTTTTCTGTTAGTTCAAAAATATTAGAAACTTAATTTGTATGCATTATTTGATCAGAGCAGAATTTGCTGGTGATCTCCAATCATTGTCTTGGTTAATGATGGCCGTGGGAGGAATATGTGGGAACTTGTTAGGTGGCTATGCGCTTTCTAGTTTAAGAATAAACGCCATCTTTCTTCTTTTTTCTGTACTTCCAAGTATTCAGCTTCTATCATGTGCCTTCATCAAGGAGGTTTCTTCAGAAATTCCAGACATTAAAGACCTAAAAAACAGCCATGGACGGGAGAATTTATGCATTAGTTCAGAAACTTCTCTTGTTGATGCATCAAAATCTGAGACTTTAAGGAGGCGGAAGAATGAGCATAATCATGATAAGAATAAGCTCACATACAATGAAGATGAAGATTTGAAAGAACAAGAGTCATTAGTAAGTTGCTATCAATCTATAAGATCGGCTATTTCTAGTTTGTGCCGTGCATTCAAGAAGCCTCTTATCCTAAGGTAGCCACATGTCATTTTTCCATGTTTTGTGAATTTTTGGCCTCCATTAGAAGTTGCAAATTTATGTCTAAAACTCATATTATATGTTTTTATTTTCTTAATATTTTTGCTCCTCGCCCTTGCCAGACCTATGGCATGGTTTTTCTTTTCACATGTTACAGTTCCAAACCTTTCAACAGTTATGTTCTATTATCAGACTGAGGTGTTGCATCTGGGAGCATCATTTCTGGGGGCATCACGTGTCATTGGCTGGTTTGGCCTAATGATTGGAACATATATTTATAATCAACATTTGAAGCGGATGAAACTGCGGAAAATTCTCATGTAAGACACATTGGCCTTAGCTTAACTTCCCAAACTTTATCTGTATTTTACGTAACTTTTATGCTGATTTAAATTAAGTCCTTGAAAGTGGAACTATGGAGGTCATTTTAGATTTATGGTAGATGTGTATCTAGCCATAACTCAGTGTCTTCAAATCATCTGCTAATTTTTCTGATTACTGCAACCATTCTGAAATCATCATCTTTTGAAAAAAAAAAAGTTGTAGTCAGTAGAGTACTTGGTACCATATTGCATTGTTTTTAATTATTATTTGTGGCCGTAAAAAGAAAGATGATACCTGATCCTTTTCTAAGCTTTTTTTCAATACATTTTTTGAGGGAAAGTCATGGAATATATATATTTTTTTTTTTGTTTAGTTACAAGTTGAGGTGTCAAATGGGCTAACCCAAGCCCGTTTGAGGCCATTTAACTCGCTCAAGAAAGCTCATATATGTTTATTTTGTAGACCAAATTTAATATGTGCCTCGCTCAAGAAAGCTCATATATGTTTATTTTGTAGCCCAAATTTAATATGTGCTGTGGTTGGCTGCCAATAAAGGCTCATATAGCATATCTTTGTACTAATTTTATTACGAATTCAAATATTTTATGGCTTGATGATCTCGATATAGGATAATTCCTTAGGCAAAAGATAATGTCTCCAATATCAAATTGTTTGCGCAGCTAAAAAACTCTCATCATAATTTGAATATTTTATCTGTTTTTCTTGAATCCCGATTTATCTGTGAATCACACTCCAAGGGTTAGAGCGTAAAAAAAGAGAGATAGAAAGACAGAGAGAAAATGAACAATAAATGTCTTGTCTATCTCATTTTTCTCTTAAAATGGTCTCCTTATTTATAGGGGATGGTAGAATATATGATTTATTTTTGCCATTCTTTAATTGGACTGTTACGAGATATTTTAGCTATCTTATATATTCGAGCTATTGCTTGCTGCCCTATGATCTGGTCGATTGGGCTAGAGTGACTTTGGCTCGTTGAGGCCGGTTTGTTCAATTTGGCTTTGTCGGTGCAGTCGATCGGCTGAATGCAATTGACTTTTGGTTAGCAGAACTGGCTCGATCAGTTAGGCTTTACCAATTGGTTGTTCTAGTTTAATTGCGGACCCTCGATTCTTGTATGAGAACCTTTTGTCTTTTGGTAAAACTGTCATAGCACTTGCTTATGCTGCTATATTCCTGCCCCCTGCCGAGAACCAAAATTTGCTCAACAAGCTTTATCTGCATCCTCGTGGAAATTTTTTCTGATGGAGACTTCTCCATGATGCCATCCCCACTCGTGGAGGTGCACAGATGTTAACAATGAGCTCATGGGGATGCTTGGAGGTGGAAGATCGAACTCACCTTTTTACTGCCTTTTATTTTACTGGGCCAAAGAAATTTTGGAGAATTGTGATATTCTTGTCCCATCTTTTCACAACTTTGTTGATGTTATTGAGGAGCTTAGAAGGACACCAAAGAACAACATTGCTGCTGCACGATGCTTTTTCTACCTTGCCCACCACTGTTGGAGAGCGCAAAACGCTAAATGCCACAACCAATCGCATGGTACTCTGACCACCATTGCTGTCACCATTTTGGGGTTGCGTACGAAGATTCAACTTTTTCCACTACAGGAGCAATGGTATGCTAGCTGATCCCTTGGGTCGGTCCCTACACCTTTCCTGCAGTCATCCGAGATGAGCAAGGCATACGGTGTGCCGCCATGGGACAGTACTTCGAGTATTGGAACAGTGGGTAGCTGGAGCTCATGGCCTCTTCTGCTTTCGAGCAGATTTGCGAGCTGTGGATGTATGAGTGTAATGAGATCATTGCGGAGAGTGGCAACATTCATATTATTCAGCTTTTGCAGAATACCATGAAGAAGGGGACTGACAACATCATCCTCAACTATCCTTAAACATCGCTTTTCTTACCTTTTTTAGACAAGTTCTTTTTAAACCTATTTCTCGTGAATGTAATAAGGCGGCTCATTTTTTATTCCAAGCATGCCCTTGGTGGCTCTTTTGCTTTGATGCTTGCAGATAATGATAGGAAACTTTCTACCATATTTGTAGAGAATATGTTTCTTTTTTGTACATCATATATGCATACTTGCATAGTTTTTATATTTTTTTGATATATTAATGCAAATTGAACTTTTCAAGGATGAGAACTTCTTGTCGGCAAAACGAGACTAGGCTATCGAGCAGATGGTGGATCACTGTAATTTGATATATAACTCATCCCTTAATGAGGGAGGTTTTTTTGGATGATCATGAGTCTCTGTTGTATTGTCAATACTTGGTTCCTAATGAGGAACCTTGGGAGAATCCGTGGGATGACTGATGACAAGGAATTGGAATCTTTCCTCAGGTTAGATCTGTCTATCCAAGCCTAATCAATCTGAAATTGGATCATTCTTTTTATCATTCTTCTGGCTCTGTTGGCTTTTGTCCTTGACTTAGACGGCTGCATCCCATCAAATAAGTGGAGTTTCTTGGTCTCATATTTTCTTTGTGCCATCCTTTACTGCACTTCATTCCTTCTAGTCCGTTGGATCTCCTCGGAATTCTTACTGGCACATTTTTTATGTACGTATTTTAGTTTCTCGATTTTCTTGTTTCTTGAAAGCGACATTACGATGAGAATAAGTGTATTAAATATAAAAGTAGATATCATTTGTTTCATTATCAGAGCTTCAATAATTAAAATTTTTGGATTTCCATTCTCATGGTTCTTATAAATAGGGTATGACAGGATTCCTTTGATATTTTAAATTTGTTTTATGTTTCTTCTTGTTTGAATTGGTTGTCTTTTAAATTTTTCATGAAGAATGTCTTGAACCTCGCAGATAAGTTGTCGAGCAGGGAAATAATGTATACAACCTTTGGAAGTCGATAGCATGGAAATGTTTGAAGGGTGAGAAGAAATCGGAGAGAGAGAAGAAATTAGAGTGAGAAGAGGAAGAAGAAACTTGTCTTTAAGACGTGGAAGGCGGACAAACTAATAGACTAAGTTGGGTCATCCACTCTCTTCAAGGACTTCGACGGGAGAAAAACTGGCGGATGATGGAAGCTGGTTCGGCGGCCTGAGTGCCGGTTTGCTGGCCCCGCCTTTTGCTTCACTTCGGACTAGCCGGTTGAACAACACGCACAAAGAGTTGTTGGCACTCTACCACCAGAAACACAGGAAGCTACTGGTGTTCTATCGCTGCATGGGGCGCAAGGAACTGCTGGTGCTTAGCCGTCACCTAGTGAGTGGTGTGTCGCTTACTTGGATTGAAATGGATTGGCTCTTTGCTATGAGAAGCTTCGGTCTTGCAATTAGGCTTAGATTTTTTTTCTTTGTTCACTCATCCAATATCGGCTGATGACTTGCCTTCGGCGAATGCTGGTTAGGATCCGGCCGCGGTACAAGTAGTTTTAGCCTAGGCACCGGCCGGGAGCTAGGATGATGGGTTCAATCTCCCGATGGCTCTTGTGAGGCCCGTGGGGGGAGCCTTTGATGGACGTTGGATGTCCCCTGAATCTTGGACCGTCACCTAGATAAGATGGAGAATTCTTTCCCTTGGGTTGTTGAAATCCATAGAGAGGAGATATGTGGGTTATGAGAGTAGCTAGCTGCCCTTCGTCTGGAATTATTGGACGTTCGATAGACATGCTCCATGCTTAGGGTCCAGGCTTGATCGGGTTGACCAATTTAAGTTTGAGGGAGAGGTTTTGTATCAGCGACTCCTTTGGTGAGGATTTTTCTTGGCCAAAGTGGTAGATGAATCCATTGTAAAGTTTTTCCTCTCAGAGTAATTTATGAGAGTTATTTGTAACGCTCTATTAAGAAATAAAATTTTCTTTCTATTTCTTAATTGACATTTTGATGAGATATTTATGTCAGTGTTTTTTCGAAATTTCTTACGATTTTGTGCGATGATTTTGCTTCCGTCGTTGCCCAATATATATATTGGGTTATTGGTTGAATCATGTTGCACTTTCCTATCCTTTGCTCTCCTCAATTTTTCTTACTCTCGACTTTGTGCTTTCTGTCATGTGTTCTACCCTGATAGCTTCGAAATATTCTCATAAGAATTTTGGGTCGCAACCGAGTGGCCGAAGATGACACAAGGGAAATTGGCTCTGCTAGACCCTTCCATCATGCTCCGAGTCATGGGAGTGAATGACCTGATAACAAGTTGGTATGAGGATGATCTCATTTTTTACAGAGACAAGTTCAGGTGCCGGTTGAGGCTGCCACTTTGTCGTGAATTACGAGCAATTTTCGATCATTATGGAGTGATTCCTGCTCAAGTTATGGCCAACTCCATCACTGTCATAGTGATATTTATCATTTTCTACTGCTGAGTGGGAGTTCCATGGTCGAAGAAAATTTTCACCTATATGTTTTTGTTCCGGCACGACCCTGAAGGCTTCGTGCAGTTTCGTCTGGTCGATAAATTCCAGTTGCTCGACTTGAAGGATAAGATTAAGGATTGGAAGCTGCACTTCTTCCTCGGGCTCTTCTTCCTATGGTTGGGGGATCGAGACTATCTCAACGGGAGGAGCGGTCAAGAAGAAGACAGTGTCGGACAACTTTCGTGTGGAAGGAGAAGATATTGAAGGAATGTAGCTGTTAGTTTTCCAATACCTTGAATCAATAGTATTCAATTGGTCTTTGCAGCTGGGGAAGTTCGGCCAAATGACAATGGCACTTTGGGTGGCTTCGGATGAAGATGAAGCTAAAAGGGAGGTGGTTGCTGCTGCTCGGGTTGGCAAGAAGGTCTTAACGCCTGCTCGAACAAAGGCTTACTACCCTGAAGTTGTTATGTTTATGAAAACATGGCTTCATGTGGTGGTTTATGCAGAAAAAAGTAATGAAGGTGCAGATTATGTTTATTCCATATCTGAGTCTTTTATTTTCATTCAACGGGTTGCCACCAATGAACTAGTACATATTGAAATCAAAGATAAAGCTTCTTGATCAAGTGCAAGTCCTTCCGCTGCGC